GTTATCATCCCTTGTAGGGGAGAGTGGGGTAAAGTGAGACATTTTTTTACATTTGCTCTCCTCTAAGTGAGCTAAAATGATATATCAGTATGATTTATACATTTCCCATTAATTCAGGATGTTTTCTACCTATGGAAATTATCTGAATGTATTCAGGACGAAGGGCAGTGAAAATATGATTGTTTTTAAAAAAGTGGTCTTGTGTCTCACTTTACCCCAGCTTAGGGGTAAACTGAGACAGACCAGAGAAATCAAGGGGATAAAGTGAACCAGCTGGGGGTAAACTAATTCACTTACTTTTTATCAGAGATCTAGCTCCCTGGAAAGTGGACGACAGGTATCAGTCAGGAGTGAGTATGGGTGTGGTTAAAAGAAGAAAAGTGATCTTGACAAATACATCCAACCTAGGTTGGAGGGCCCTTTACGAGGGCAGACTCGTCTCATAGTAAAGCCTGGAGAAATGCCTACATATAAACTGTCTAGAGTTGAGAGCAGTCACTCTATCGCTGAAAGCCTTTCTCTCTGACTTGAAAGGCCACCATGTCCTGGTCCGGACAGACAGCATGGCAGTGGTGTCCAATATAAATCGCCAGGGCGTTCTCAGGTCAAGCAACCTGCACCCCATGGCCAAAAAACGAATTTTATGGGCTCAGCACAACCTGTGCTCCCTAAGGGCGGCACATGTGCCAAGCATCCTGAACCAGGGTGCGGATATGTTATCCATAGACAATTTTCCCCCAGGAGAATTGTCTCTTCACCCACAAAAGGTTCAGCTAATATAGAGCATTTTCAGCGAGGCAGAGGTCGACCTCTTCGCCTCAGAAGAACAGGGGTGTGCTTGCCCATGATTGGCCGAGCCATTCGCTCAATGCATTCCTTCCAGTCACGATGTTACCACAGGTCATCGAATGGATCAGGGAGAGCAAGTGTGTAGTGCTACTTATAACCCCTCTCTAGAAGACCCAGTTATGGTTCTCCATGCTGGTACCGCTGCAGTGGCGCTGAGGAGAGACCTCCTCATGCAGGCAAACCGATTAATTTGCCATCCCTGTGAGGCAAGAGCGCTGTCAACTAGACACCTCTACGCTCAGAAATGGGTGGTAATTTCTGGCTGGTGCGCTGCACGGAGCCTAGACCCCTATTTGTGCAAAGTATCGAGTATACTCGCCTTCTTACAAGGGAGCTTGGACGTGGGTCGTGCCCCCTCCACATTCAAAATGTATGTGGCTTTGATCAGGGGATCGCTTCAGTCGACTTAACCTGACTACCTTTGGCTGAACTGGCCAATATAAAGGCTTAGGGCCTTAGGCCACACCCATTCTGGATGGCTCTGACATGCCACGGCACGAAGCAGCCTGATTGGTTCTTTCGTCTAAGCCTCTCCACAGGTTCATGCAGTTGCCACAGCACATCCAATGACCGCACTAGCCGTTCATCTGTGTCTGCTGCAGCTGCTCGGCGTTTGAAAGATTTTGGCTTCAATATTCCACATTTTTAAAACAGACCTCCTCTTCTCAATATCTTGTCAGGCTTGTCAATAATTCTATCCCTTGCAGCCGCTCTTATAGACTACTTTCCTTCCTTGACCTCAGCGGCTGCACTCTCCATCTCCTCAAGGGGTGTTTTGCCACAGGTTGTCTTCCTGGTGTATTATCTTGGCATGATGGCTTTTCTACAATGTTTATGACATTAACTCTTTCCCCGCCAAACACGGAATTTTCCGGGTTTAATGAAAAAACGCATCCCCGCCAAACACGGAATTTTCCGGGTATCCGTGTTTTAGGTGGTATACGGTAAGGAAGACCCGTGCGAATGTTCTGAATGAGTGCGCAACTCTTTGATCAGAGAAACAGATTGCAATCGTCTCAAACAGTGGAGTAGTAAGAATGTATCAGACAGACAATGCAGAGGTATATGGCTGAAGTACTGGAGGTTAATGGACTCGGAGTCCGATCACTCTTTATTTGATAATTCTGAATCTGATCGGGACGAAGTAGTCAGTGAGAGAGATGCACATGTTGTCACAGAAAGTTCTAGCCATGGACGTGCCGCAGATAGATCGTATAATACTTGTATTATGACATTATAATATTTATGTGTGTGTGCAGGCATTTATGTGTGGCTGTCTAAATATGAAGGTGTAATTGTCAAATTATTTCTCTCTTTGTGCATATTTACCACATTGTAATATGTATTTGTGTGTGTGTGTGTCTAGGCCTTATTGTAATTCCAATTATTCATTATTCACAGGTAGAACACAGAGAGGCAGAGGCAGAAGTTTTATTGCAAAAGTTACATTTCCCTTACATCCTGGGAAATTTGATATATTTTACATTTATTTATGTTTTTAATTTATTTTGGAAAGTTTTATATATGAAGGAAACAACATCTGAATGTATTCTGCTTTTAAATGTACTTGTTTGATAAAAATACCTTTTTCTCAGTTTTTTGTCCAAAATGTTGTGTTTTTGACAAAACCTACCTCTGTTCAAGAGGCAATAAAAAAAGAACAAATGAAGATAAAATAAAAACTTTTTTTTGCCTAAAAGCAGAGGCTCAGATCTTTATTTTTATATATATCATCTTCATATATTCATGGAAGAAAATATTCAGCGGGGCATTAAAAGCATTAAAATTTAGCGAAAATCGTCAAAAACCCTGGCGGTGGCTGGCAACTTTTTTTTAAAACGCTGGCGGGGAAAGAGTTAAAAAATAAAACATATGTAATGTAATATTACATTAAAATATATTTAAGACTAAACTTAACTTGTGCCTCATGTCTCACTTTACCCCATAGTATTTGTCTCACTTTACCCCACTGCCACATTTTAGAAAAAAATGATCTCTCTTAGTAATTCAGGATACTCTTCAGCTATCATCATCACATGGTTTTATATGTTAATAGTTCACCAACATGTATGATATACATTTTTCTACCTGAATCAATTTGCTTTACCACAACAGTTGATTAAGTTGACAGCAAGAAAATTTACTTTTACATGCAAAGAACATATTTTTGTAAAAAAAAAAAACATGTTTATAACAGCACCATGAGCTCCTCTCCTTTATGGCCAAGGGGAAATGGAATGGGCTTAAAAACATAATGGTCACACAACCACAAATGTGTTTTGTTGACTAGATACAGGGGGTGTCTCACATTACCCGATGTCTCACATTGCCCCGCTCTCCCTTATGTAGAATTTAAGTTGCTGCCTTCTGGTTCGCTTCAGTCAGCCACCAGCCAAAACAAATAGATGTAAATTCTCTTTTGTTCCCTCTGCGATCTCTCTGCTTAACTCTTTAAAGAATAGGTAATGACTGCACATTGACAATAGTTGAATTTAAATGTTAAATGTTGTGGTTGCTATTTTTATTTTTATCTGTCTGACCGTGTATTTTTAATTGTTGTTGATGTTGTCGTGTAATGGATGTTAATCTATTTGGCTACTGCAGCAAAACTAATCGCCCCTCAGGGACAAATATAGGTCTTGAACTTGAACTTGAACATTCAAAAAACTGTACAGTTTTATTCCCAACTATATAGCTGGGTTTCAGTCACGTGATTATGACGCCCGTAATTCAGATGGAGGGCAGGGAGTGAAGAGCGCAATGGACGAGATGGAGGAAAGTCTGTACTGTACTACTTTACATGCTATTACAAGAGAAGGAAATAAACAAAAAAATCAAACATATGTTGGACGTGATCCTTACGTTATGAAGAGAAGCGATTTTTCAACTGAATTGAAATATTTTCCTGCCATCGAGGCTGTAGATATCAGCAACTACCTCATCTTACAGACATCCTTTGACTTTACAAAGTTAGGAAACGTTACACGTTACACAAACAGTCACTTAAATTGTATTAACTCACCTTTGACGAAGTGATCACTAACGTTACACACACGAGCATTATCCCATTCGGCTCCTCCCGACCGCAGACATAGGTTTGCAAGCCGTTTTTCCAGAGTTTTTCGATCAATTTCTTGCATTTCCCCACTTATGAACAACAACTTTTTAGCCTGACTTCGTCATACTCATATTCTAGTCAGAATATGAGTCTGAGACCGCTCCATCCCAGCTAACACAAATACGTGACTGTTACGTAACTGCAACGTAATCTGGTGACCAAACTTTCGTCGTGGCGACGTAACCAGTTACGTTGTGGCAACCGGAAAAGTGAAATTCCCAGATACGTTGTCACGACGTAACTTTGTAACGTCGTCAGTAAGTAACTGCGACGTTGTGGCAACGTCATGGATCAATAGTCGTGTGTTGGTAACCAGTTGGTCATTTTAGTTTTAATTAATATGGGCGGAGAAGCAGTGGTCTAATTTAACTTGTCCTCATATGCCCAAAACTATTTTGGAGACTTTTCAATGGCATACGAAAGATACAGACTCAGTATTTGGTTAATTCATTTCATTTACTATAGAACAAAGCACAAACAACAGCAAAACCAGTGTGCAAACAGGTTTATAAACATTTAAATGAAGGTTTTACATGAATATAATTAAAATAATGTAAGAAATGTAATGTAAAAAAATAAAAATAATGATTTTCTATTTTAATATACTTTAAAATATAATTTAATCCTTTGATGCAAAGCTGAATTTTCAGAATCATTCATCCAGTCTTCAGTGTTACATGATAAAATATTATACACAGGAATAAATTACACTACTATATATTCACATGTTATAATATTTGTTTTTTGTTGTTGTTTTTTGTCAAATAAATGTAAGCTTTATAAGCATAATAGACTTCTTCCAAAAAATATTAAAAATAGTAACGTTTCCAAACTTTTGACTGGTACTGTTTATGATTTTATAGTTATACAAAATAAATTGTAGTTATTAAGACTGACTGACACTTTATTATTTAGTGTCATTATTTATTAAGACTGACTGACACTTTATTTTTTTTAGAGCTTGCTCAGTTGGGGTTATTTAGTGTTTAGCAATGTTGTTGATCTGTGTTGTGCTACTTTCATGTTATCAGTGTGAAGCTGCTTTGATACAATCTGTATTGTGAAAAGCGCTATATAAATAAATGTGACTTGACTTGACTTTATTATATCTAGTATTATTGAAGCAAAACATAGTCCCTATAACACTGCAATTTGTATATTTTAGTCTTCGAGAAAATGTTTTTTCCCTTTCTCTCACAAACATAACACATCAGTTACACCTTTTTAAATTATTCGTTGCAGGTGCGGTGCACGGTGTGGTGTACAGGTACATCTGTCCAAGCCAACATCTCACGCCTTGATCCCTTCCGCTGTGGATCCCAGAAAACCTGCAATAAAAAAATAGTACAGTTCAAAACAACAAGGATACATCTCATCTGGTATCACAAATTATCATTCGAGGTTCAATAAAAAAAATAGAGTTAGCTTAAATGCTCAATATTACGGCTTAAATAAAATATTTTGTTTATCTGCTGCTATATATATTGCGATATAAAAACAAATTTCAAGAGATTATTTATTTAGAGTGAATCTGCATTGAAAATTATAAACAAATTACAAGCATAGATAAATTCAAAAGAAGAAAAATACAATTGAAATAAGCAGTGCGTGATTTTTTTTAGGAAAGTCTAACTTATCAGGTACGGAAATTGAATTATCGAATGTAAAATAAGTCTTTACTGAGGTACAGCCTCTCCCTACAAAATGACAAACAACCAGCCTGAAAGACAATGTCTATAATAGTGTGTGTAATTTCTTCAGTACCGTCAGCAGAACCGATAACATCTGAGCTTATTGATACTGCGGTCTTCCTTAATTTGGCCCCTGTTTAATGTTTAACACCGGGTTTCGGAACCTATTCCTACGCATGGGTGAGTTCATATGGATGAAGGCCTGTTGTGTTTCGGTTTTGTTTGTGATAGTGGCAGCTATTGTGAAACTCACCTTCCTTATGTACTGAGTGTGGATGGCATCAAGATCTTGTCCTGAAGAATCACAGGGTCAAATGATCATTCATACCTCATCTGGTAACAAGAGCATAGCCATAACTTTAAAAACTCTAATAATATCTTTACCCCCTGATAATGTATTGCTGATGTACATTCAAACATTTTAAAGGCTAAGAGTATGAGCCATGAGTAAACTGGACAGATATCTGTGAAAAATAGCTTGCGTGCCTAAAGTTGTCAACCCCCTGAATTCAGCATTTAAAAGTAAAAAGAATTTCAGTATTTATCAGTAAAAACTACATTAAAAATACCTTTGAGTTGGACAGTATGATGTCCGTCTCATTGGCTAACATAATTAAAAACACACCTAGAGAAAAAAAAATATATATACCAATGACCATTATCCTGTTATAATAATAGTTAAATGAATTATTATAACTATGACCATTATAACATTATATTTGCCGCCTATTATTTAGCTGATTATTTAGCCTACAGGCTTCTCAAGGACAATCTCACTGAAAAAAACTGGGGTTAATGATTTTAAATTGTGAGACTTCATTCAAAAGCATAAATCCTACAGAGTACAGACCCACAACAATTGAACAGTAACTTATGTATGAAGTTTTGCTTACTAGTCGAGTTCATAGCCGTGCAGATTGTCTTGGACCAGGGGGTGCAGCAGGCAATCAGATGATCTTCTAGAAAATAACATGTCACAGAGCCAACAATGTTACATAGAATTTACAATAGGACAAATGGTTTATTACAAGGAAGCAAGCAAGAGCAGAGATGAAATGCAGAAAAGATAAAGAATATAAAAAATCGTAACGTAATATATTGTGCATGCAATAAATGCAAATTATTATCATGATAAACAATAATTCCCCCTTTGTTGTGGAGGGTTTTTTTCTGTTCCTCCTGAAATCACTTATTATCAATCTTTGTAAGTGACGTCATTAACAGTACGTTACAATGAATTATTTCAGGTTAAATAACTTAGCTTACTTCCCACCCACTGACAAATTACCAGCAAAACAAAACTATCAAAAACTGTTATCAACACAAAAATGTGGTTAAAAACCCAAACTTATGTAAAACAAGAGCTCAATTGTAACGTAAACTTAACTTAGCTCTTCTGAAAACGGAGAGGCTAACGGACTTTTTCGGAAGACACAAAACCATTTCTATAAAGTAAATATTCAACAGAAGTGTATCAATTACACGTAAGAAAGGTGTCCGGAACATTTATATGTATTATTTGAGTGATTTTGGTAACTAAACTTACCTGAAAGCAGAGAAAACAACAGTGAGAGACTAGTCTTGCTGTTTGTCAGTTGATGAGGTTTCCTCGTTTCCATGGTTTCCATCTGCTCGTGCTCGCGCGCGCTCCTGTCTTTGAATCAGATAGCTTTTGCGACTCAATGTTTACGCGCATGTAACCGTCAAAAGGCACGCAGCATTTAAATAAACATCTAGAATTATAACATTTAACAATTTAAATATCTTTAATTTTAAATAATGAATTTAAAACGTCTCGGTTACGTATGTAACCCTCGTTCCCTGAGTAGGGAACGGAGACGTTACGTCAGAAGTGACGGAGATTGGGGGATTTCGCATAGAAAGCCAATCCTCTTCGAGTATTAAAACACGAGCCAATGGCATGCAATGCCTTGGGGCTGCGTAAATTTGCATAGCGTACTCCGCCCTACTCCGTGAGTATAAAAGGAGGAAGTGAACGCAACCGCAGTATGTCTTCGCTGAGGAGCCAAGACTGAACTCGGCCTCTACCCAGCGATACAGCAGAAGTGGCAGGGAGACGTAACGTCTCCGTTCCCTACTCAGGGAACGAGGGTTACATACGTAACCGAGACGTTCCCTTTCGTAGTCACTTCGAGTTACGTCAGAAGTGACGGAGATTGGGGGTCTGTGCCATCACGCCATCTTCAAGCTGTCTTCCAGTGCCCTGCGAAAGACTGAACCCCCGAGCTTTATCTCTTTTTTTTTTTTTTTTTGGGGATCCGACTTTGACACAGGATTACCAAGGTACACTGGGAAACATATCCCGAAAGGGGACATGCTACCAGTTGCCTACCGAAGGGAGGACTTATGAACACATATGGCCACATAGGAACGCATATGGAACACTGGAGTACCAACCGCAGGTGGCTATTAATTTAAACTCCAGGGGTGGCAGATGGCTTGCCAAGGGAAGACACATGCTCAGAGAGGCTTACAGTGGATAATACACATGAGACGGTTACCATGGGGAACCGTGCGCATGGAGGCACCTAGCTAGCATCCAGAGCAACAGCAGTGGTGACCGCATCGTCGGTGCTGGAGGACTCAAGACTTCAATGGAAGAACTGAGGAAATATCGCACTTATCCAGTCCGGGGAGTGGAGTGGCGAGCAAGCGAAGACACCTGAGCGGGTCCAGTACCGGCCGGAACGAGTACGAGAGAGGACACTGGCTCAATTCGCAGATTATAGAATCTGGCGAAGGTGTTGGGTGTCGCCCAGCCTGCAGCTCTGCAGATGTCTGTTAGCAAGGCGCCGTGCGCTAAAGCCCAAGAGGAGGCTACACTCCGAGTGGAATGGGCCGTCACACCAAGGGGGCACGGAAGGGCTTGCTGCTGGTAAGACAAAGCAATGGCATCCACTATCCAGTGGGACAGCCGTTGCTTTGAGAGAGCCCTTCCCTTCTGGCTCCCTCCATAACAGACAAAGAGCTGGTCTGAGGTCCTGAAACACTGCGTCCTGTTGACATAGGTGCGGAGAGCACGTACCGGACAGAGCAGTGCCAAGGCTGGGTCTGCCTCCTCCGGGGGCAGCGCTTGCAGGTTCACCACCTGGTCCCGGAAGGGAGTGGTGGGAACCTTGGGCACATATCCAGGCCGGGGTCTCAGGATCACGTGAGAGTAAGCCGGCCCGAACTCCAGGCACGCTTCGTCAACGGAGAATGCGTGCAGGTCCCCCACCCTCTTGATGGAGGCCAATGCAACCAGGAGTGCTGTCTTCATGGACAGAAACTTTAACTCTACTGATTGCAAAGGCTCAAAGGGATGCCTCTGCAGAGCACTTAAAACTACTGAGAGGTCCCAAGAGGGTACGAGGGGAGGACGAGGCGGATGCAGCCTCCTCGCTCCCCTCAGGAACCTGATGACCAGGTCGTGCTTCCCTAAGGACTTACCTTCCACTGCTTCATGAGAAGCGGCAATGGCCGCGACATAGACCTTAAGGGTGGAGGGCGACAGCCTGCGCTCCAACCCTTCTTGCAGGAAGGAAAGCACGACACTGATCGGACATCTCCGGGGGTCTTCTCCGCGAGAAGAGCACCAATTGACGAAGAGGTTCCACTTCAACGCATAAAGGTGTCTCGTGGACGACGCTCTTGCGGAAGTGATGGTTGCCGCCACCGCAGGTGGCAGCGAACTCAAACCTGCCTCGTCCCGTCCAGGAGCCACACGTGCAGCCTCCAAAGATCGGGACGAGGGTGCCACAGAGTGCCCCGTCTCTGAGAGAGTAGGTCTTGTCTCAGAGGAATAGGCCAAGGAGGTGCTGTCGCGAGGAGCATGAGATCGGAGAACCACGTCTTGGTGGGCCAATAGGGGGCTACCAGCAAGACCTGCTCCTCGTCCTCCTTGATCTTGCACAACACCCGTGCAAGGAGGCTCACTGGGGGAAACGCATACTTGCGTGGGCCCCGTGGCCAGCTGTGCGCCAGCGCATCCGAACCGAGAGTGCCCCAGGTCAGAGAATAAAACTGGGCGCAGTGGGCTGAGTCCCGGGAGGCGAACAGATCTATCTGTGCCTCCCCGAACTCTTTCCAGATCAGCTGGACCGACTGGGGATGGAGTCGCCACTCGCCGGAGATAGGACGGACCCGAGACAGCTCGTCGGCTGCCCAGTTCCGGTCTCCAGGGATGTGAACTGCACGAAGGGACCTCAGGTGCTTCTGACTCCATATCAAGAGGTGGCGGGCGAGCTGCGACAACTGGCGCGAGCGTAGACCCCCCTAGTGGTTGATGTACGCTACAGCCGTAGTGTTGTCTGAGCGGACAAGCACATGCTGGCCCTTGAGCAACGCTCTGAAGCGGTGCAGGGCGAGCCGTACTGCCAGCAGCTCGAGGCAATTGATGTGCATGAGGCGCTGGGCCCCCGTCCAGGAGCCGGCGGCTGCATGCCCATTGCACATGGCACCCCAACCCGTGGTAGATGCATCCGTGGAGACGATGAGATGCCTGGAAACTCGCTGAATAGGGACGCCCGTCCGTAAAAAGCTGAGGTTCGACCACGGGAAGAAGGTTCGCCGGCATGCCGGAGTCACTGGGACTCGGAGCGAGCCGCGATGCCATGCCCACCTCGGGACTCGATCGCGAAGCCACAGCTGAAGCGGTCTCATATGAAGCAAACCGAGCGGCGTTGCCGCGGCCGCGGATGCCATATGCCCCATGCCCCAGGAGCCTCTGAAAAAGTTTCAGTGGAACCGCACTCTTGCCCTCGAACTGACGAAGACAAGTCAGCAGTGAGTGCGCGCGCTCGTTCGTGAGCTGCGCGGACATGGCGACCGAGTCTATCTCCACGCCGAGAAAAGAGATCCTCTGCACGGGGCAAAGTTTGCTCTTTTCTCGGTTGACCCGAAGGCCCAGACGGGCTAGGTGCCGGAGCACCAAGTCTCTGTGTTCGCAAAGCTGAGCTCGAGAGTGTGCTAGTATCAGCCAGTCGTCGAGATAATTCAGGATGCGAACCCCGTGTTCGCGAAGGGGAACAAGGGCTGCCTCGACGATCTTCGTGAAGACGCGAGGGGACAGAGCTAACCCGAATGGGAGAACGGCGTACTGATATGCCTGGCCCTCGAAGGCAAACCGAAGAAACGGTCTGTGTCGAGGTAAGATGGACACATGGAAGTACGCGTCCTTCAGGTCGATCGCTGCAAACCAATCCTGATACCGAACACATTCGAAAATGCGTTTGGCCGTGAGCATTTTGAACGGTAGTCGATGGAGAGAACGGTTCAAAATGCGCAGGTCCAGGATCGGTCGTAACCCACCGGTCTTCTTGGGGACAATGAAGTAGGGGCTGTAAAACCCGGACCTCACCTCGGCCTGAGGGGGCTGTGACGCCGGCCTGCGGCCTCCTCGACGCCGGGGCCCGGGTGAAGGCTGCTGCTGGGGCCGGGCGGGAGGGAGGGGAGCCGCAGGGGGGCGTCCTCGGCGGCGAGCAGGGGGAGGCACCTGTGCCGACGACTGGGTGGAGGCAGCAGCTGGTCGTCGGGGCAGGATGTGTTTAATGGCCTCCGTCTGCTTCTGGGCAGTGGAGAACTGTTGGGCGAAGTCCTCGACCGCACCGCCGAAAAGGCCAACCTGGGATAGCGGAGCGTCGAGCAGACGAGTCCGCTCAGCGGTCCGCGTATCCGCCAGGTTGAGCCACAGATGACGCTCCTGAACCACGCTAGTGGCCATCACCTGACCAACGGCGCGAGCAGCCACTTTCGTTGCCCGGAGAGCAAGGTCAGTGGCGGACCGCAGTTCTTTAAATGCCGTCGGATCAGTCCCGCCCTCGTGCATGTCTCTGAGCAACTTCGCTTGGAAGACCTGCAAAGTGGTCATAGCATGCAGAGCGGAGGCCGCCTGTCCCGCCGCTCTGTAGGATCGCGCCGCCATAGCAGACGAGAACCCACAGGCTTTGGATGGGTGCTTAGGAGGACCACGGGTGGAAGCGCTCTGTGGACACAGCTGCATCGCAACAGAGCGCTCCACCGGGGGCATCCCAGTGTACCCACGGGCGGCCCCGCCGTCGAGGGGGGGAAAGGCGGGGGAGAGATCGCGCTCTCGAGTGGACAAAGGAGCCCCCCAAGAGCGCGACAACTCCGCATGCAGCTCGGGGAAAAAAGGTATTGGAGTCGGCCGTGGCTTTGCAGCGGCAGCCTTGTCCAAAAACCAATTATCCATCCGTGAGAGGTCGGGGCAGGATGGAGGTTTCCATTCTAGCCCGATACTCCCAGCGGCTCGAGACAGCATGGCCGTCATCTCGGGATCTGACGCGGACAACGCTGGAACACCCGAAGGAGGCAACGCAGCCGGATCTTCCTCTCCCGAGGAATCAAGCCCGCCTAGTGATGCTGTGATAGACATCGCATCATCATCTGGGGCGCTGCTCGAAGCAGCCGGTGCCACCGAAGAGACAACCGACCGAGTCGAACTAGCGCCCGCTGGCTCACGCACTGAGGCGGGAGGTGTGGCCCGAGGAATCGTCGGGGCTTTATCCCACACCGTCACCGTTAGATCGCCCGGTCCCCGGGTCGACGGGCCCCCTTTCGTGAAGGAAGCCGATCGAGTAGGGGGGACCGGGGCTCTCACTCTAGTGAGATCATTGAGCCGCGACCTCAGTGTGGAGATGGTCATGCTCCCACAGAAGGAACATGAGTCATCCACGAACGCTGCTGCTGCATGCTGAATGCCCAAGCAAACAAAGCAGCGTTCGTGACCATCAGATGACGATAGAAATCTACCACATCCAGAAGGGCACGGGCGAACCATCTTTAAAAAGACGTGCCGTGTGCAGCTCTTTTACAGAGAGGAGAGAAATTCACTCTTTCAGCGCTGAGGCTACCAGGGAGAAGCGCAAAGTCTGGCAAACCACTGCACAGATCGCAGGCAATGCAGAATCTCGCTGGGTACCGCCGTCACACCAACACTGAAGAGGACGCTCGTCTCGAAGAGTCTTGAATCAGCTTTGAGGAGTGAAGAGGTTCTCTTGGCTCTGAAGCGAAAAACATACTGCGGTTGCGTTCACCTCCTCCTTTTATACTCACGGAGTAGGGCGGAGTACGCTATGCAAATTTCCGCAGCCCCAAGGCATTGCATGCCATTGGCTCGTGTTTTAATACTCGAAGAGGATTGGCTTTCTATGCGAAATCCCCCAATCTCCGTCACTTCTGACGTAACTCGAAGTGACTACGAAAGGGAACTCATTGTAGTTCTCATTCACTTGACAATCATGCTTTTTTATACCATATTTTATAACCTTAGGAGGACGTACTGACGACGTTGTTGGTTGGTAATATGATGGTTATGAAATTACGAGCATACGACGTTGTAGTTACGTTGTCAATTGGTAAGTCATAAAGTGACCAAAAAGTACGAATATATTACGTAACTGTTACGTCGTGTGTTAGCTGGGATAGGGCTTTGATTATGAGGCGTGTCTTAACCAAACCAGGAAAAAAAAAACTCTGCACTCAACTGGATAGTCGGACAGAACAATGCAGTAAGTCAAATATTTTGCATAGCATAGTTGTCAACAACTGAACTTTCTTATTTTAGAAGTGTTGCTTCTTTCACTTGGTCCTTCATGAGTGCGACCAAAGGAGAAATCACAACGACCACATGCTTTTCATTACGTCCCATCTTCTAAACTTAGCGACCGTCAGAGCCAGCTGATAAGTTACACTTTTACTGAATATCTTTCCGATCGACAAATGCCTTGATTGCAGTTTTCTGTTTGTCTTTTAAAAGGAATTCGCCGTTGATTAATTTTTAAAACAGACGCGACAGCGGAATCTATACATCTCAATTCTCCAGCTGCAGTCATCTCTGATGGAAACCAGTTAGCGCTCTTTGATAACGTGATGATTACGTCCCTGCAGATCATCTGTCCATCATCATATAAAGCCCGCCCTGGCAATCTGTTTGGCCCGATCATTTTTTGCCTGATCATAATTACTCCTCAATGGATCGAGTTCAGACCGAACTTCCCGACCAAAAAATGTTGTGGGCGGAGTTCGGGCTGGCATCCAGGCTAACAACTTTTGGAACACGATTAAAACTCCTTGTGGTTTGATCGATTCAAGTAGCCATAAATGACTCAAAACACAGGCATTTTATGTTTGTTACATGCTTTCTAAATACAGCAAATAATTTCCTGCCCTCCATTTGTATTTCGTGCCATGGCAACGCAGTGGCGTGATGTCATGAAAACAAGCTATTGTGAAGGTTTTTCCGGAGGGATTTGTTGATGTATCATTCTTGGCCTGATTTATATGACATTTTATGCCTAAAAATAGGGCGGAAATCAATTTAATGCTATTGGCGGTATTTTCTGATTTACAGGGTAACAAAAAGAACTATTCATAATCCCCTCTGGTAATGTCTTTTCATTGAATCAACTAAATGCTAAAATAATTTTTAACCTTGTTTTTTTCAATGGTCAGATTCGTCAAAATATAAATTCTTGAAAATATATGCAAATTAGTGCCTATGTAATTAGAGATACCCTGATTAGCATATTTAAACATAAAATTACAGAAAACTCAAAATACATTATTTTCTCCCATTCATGTGAGCAATCAACTGGTTAAGTTTCATGGTGATATCTGTAAGTAAAAAGTTTTACCCTATTCACCTGTGTGGTGTCTCACCTTAAAGTCCCCGTGAACCGGAAGTTGCAAACGATTTTTCTCCAGTGCTGTGACGTATTTCCAAGTGAAACGGAATATTGAACAGAGGGCAGGGTTTTACTCTAGCGCTCCTCCTCTCCATCTCTCGCTCATAGCAAACTAACGGTTTGAGGGGAGTGGTTAAGCGTTTCCCCACCCAAACTGTGAAACCTACGTCATCAGAAAAAGAAACCGTTCCAGACCGGAAGTAACTTTTCAGATTTTGATTAAAGATTACTAAGGTAAAACATTTTTTTAATATATATTCACTTGCACGGATTAATTGTTCACCACAAGACTAGTAATATGGGCTAACAAAGTAAATAGGTTCAATTTTGATTTCACGGGGACTTTAAAGAGCCAATTGGCGGCCATCTTCAAACTTGCTATGACAGTAGCACCAGGCCGATGGATCAAAATGAAAAAACAAGTTAAGGGTATTTTGTTGTCTTGTTTTTGGAACACTTTAATGTCCTGATTGATTTCTTTGTTTTTCGAAATGCAATTTGCCATTTCAGCATTTCTCCCATCAACTCGATATGACATCCTGTAAGGTCTTCATGATTACGGTAAGTTACTGGACTTTTATCAGTCTGTCTCCAGTCTGTTATATCAAAAATATATTGTAAAATGAATGTTTCAGTATGCCTACACATCGTATTGAATGAACCCGTTGATTTCACTGCTGTACGTCTTATTTCTAAGTTAATGTTATTGTTGTTAATGTTATTCATAGTATTCATGGAAGTATTGCTTTTTTTCTCAGCATGACATTGATGACACAAGAAGTGGTGCCTTCTCCTCATGGAGAATTTTGTTTCTAGGGTTTAGTTATTATTTGTCATTTACCAGACACTATTATCCAGAGTGACTTTGAGTAAACTAACTTTAGGGACAGTCCTTGCTCAGGACTCAGTATTCTGCACAACTTTGTTCTCATTGTTGTCTTTTTGTATTTTGTCAGACATGGAAGGTGACTTGCACATTGGGCTGAGGTGGTTGGCTTGCACATGGCGGTTGGATCTTGCCTCACTGACAGTGAAGTGAGCTTGTGTTGTCAAAGTATTTTGTTTGTTTATAAGAATTTGGCTTTCTGGGACAGGGACAAAACGAATCTATGGGGGTAACTGGTTGGTGATGTTGGTTCTGATCATCTTGCGCACTGTTATCTTGGTTGCTTTTAGTTGACAGATTATTCACTTACTAGTGCGTTAAATCTCTGTGTAGCTGAGTGGAGGACAAATTCAGACTTTGAATCAGAACAAATGACAAGTTCCTTTATGTGTTGGGTCACTGCAATCTGGAGGGTGATGGCTGTTACTTCTGCATGTTGTGATAAGGGAATCGAAATGCATCAATGACAACCACTGCCCACCATAACAGAGTCCAGACTCCTAGCTTCCTGAGTCCTGACTTTCTTACAAAACACCAATGCTTTCAGAAATACATTTTATTAAAAAAAAAAAAGTAATTAAAAAGCCAATATACAAACATTATATTGATTGATTTTGGAGCCTTCAATGGCCATCAAAATGTATGTAATCCTGCTTGTTTCATTCAGAAAAGATGGCACACTACATATTGCATACATACATTCTTTACACTAGACTCCAAACCAAATATGTAAACAACTTAAAATGTCTCATGCAAACAAAACAAAAAAGTCTGTAAAGCATATAAAAATAATAAAGGTGGATATGACAGACGTCTTTATTCTGAAAGGAAATTCCACATTGAAACTCATTCATTACTGAACATTCTTATAATAAGATAACAGGTCTGATCAACACCAAGCATAAGAAACATTTTACAATTCATTGGCAAGGTCATTTAAAATAGCTTTTAACTTTTTTGTTGTTGAAGGAATTATTGCTCATACTGTTAGTCATCAAAGTGGAAGTGCTTGCTAGCTTCCTTCGTCCGAGCAATGATGATTTTCTCAGCTTTAGAAATGAGCTATGAAATACAACAAATATGTGATGCTGATGAAATAAGACAGTAATTTCATTTTCACTTAAAACCTATTTAGCTCAATGAGTGCCTTTATTTTTACTGTAAAAGGCTGTATTACTGAAATAGTTTGTTACCTTTTCTGTTCCACGCTTTTTTTCTCTTGGACTGTTTAGCTTTGCTTGTCGGTCCACCAAAATCTTCTGCCAGTACCTCTGCTCATGATCACCTTTTTAAACATCAATAGAGAATTTATTTTTACCTCATCTTTAAAAATGATAGTTTTAACCTAAAATATATCTAAAGAAAAGAATCCTTCTAACCTAAGAGTAGTTCAAGATTCCAGTTGTATTTTTTCTGAAATTCTGATTGGGCTGTGATGACTTTCTGTGCATCTTCAGGGCTCTTGAAGCGAACATGACCCTCCGCATCTCCATCAAGAATGTCAACATAAGCCACATTAGACAGCTCAGACAGCAAATCCTGCACATATGAAAAGAAACAACTCTTCTTCACAAATGACATTACTTGTAAAATGCCAAAATGGTTTTCAAGAGCGTGAACTTGAGGCAGGTCTAACTCGAAAAATTTGAATATCGTGCAAAAGTTCATTTCAGTAATTTAACTTAAAAGGTGAAACTAACATATTATATAGACTCATTACATGCAAAGTGAGACATTTCAAGCCTTTCTTTGTTATATTTTGATGATTATGGCCAACAGCTTATGAAAACCATATATTCAAATATTTGAAATAAAGTTCAAATATTTCCAGATATTCAAATTTTTGAGTTTCACCTGTATAGGAGACACTGAACAGTCATTGCCTAAGAAACGTTCTCCTTTAGACAGCAGTCTTTAAGAAGCCATTTTCACATCCAGCATTTTCACATCCAATAATATTTTTAAGAGCACTGATCTGATTCCTGCTACAGCACCACAAGCAAACAAATTATTGTAACAATTTTTTTTAATAGCTCATGGAACAAGACAAAGTACAGGTCCTTCTAAAAAAAATAGCATATTGTGATAAAGTTCATTATTTTCCATAATGTAATGATAAAAATTAAACTTTCATATATTTTAGATTCATTGCACACTGTGGTGGGCAGGACGGCCGAGGGACGTGAGAGAAAGTCGCGAGGCCGGTGGTGCGATTGCTAATGAGCAGCACCTGCGAGGCACACCGGTCTCGCATCTCTCACGAAGGAGCGGAGCCATAAAGGGGGGGCGACGGAGTGGATGATCGAGAGAGGAACAGGCCTGCTTTTATTTGTATTTTATATTTTATTTGGTAAGCCAGCAGTCGTCCGTGAGGGGCTGCTGGCCGGTATTTATGTTTTATTTTGGGTAGCCAGCAGTCGTCCGCGAGGGGCTGCTGGCAGGTAATTTGTTTGTTTATTTTATTTAAATAAAGTTTTATTTTATTATTATGATCCGGTTCCTGCCTCCTTCTTCCCTGAACTTTGTTGCACACACCAACTGAAATATTTCAGGTTTTTTTATTGTTTTAATACTGATGATTTTGGCATACAGCTCATGGACAAAAATGGCGCACACCTCCCTACAGCCCCCAAATAAAGAAACAAAATAAGCAATGTGGTTTTCACATTTCTGTTATGTAAGGAACTTAGCTAAAGGAAATATTGAAAATCAATAATAACTTATGATTAATTATGAATATTTAGGTCAGTTAATTGCATTAACTTGACATGGCTAATTTAATCTTACAATCACTTAATCAATTCGTCCAACAAACTCTTTTGATTATGCATTCATTCTAAGAAAAGGGCATCTTCCATAGCCACAGAAGAATAAGTATTTCTTAGCATGTACAGCGCTTTGAGGAAGTAGCCAGATCAAGATTGTAAAAGAGACATTGCTTGCAAGCAGTGAGTCAGAACCAAATACATAAAGTGCCCAAGTTTTATTAACTAAATCATAAACATGAATAAACTAAACAAGCATACATAAATACGTGTAGGAAAAAGGAGTAAGAGATGGAACAATGTAGTGATGGAGAAGATCCTTCTAACTATGAGAAGTCAGGTTACATGTAGAAGAGGTCACATGTGGACTGTCTGTAATAAAGCCTGAGAAAGATCCAACCCCTAAGGGTTGGCTGACCATTAAGAAAGGTGAGATGTCTGAGAGGGAAAGCGGCTCTTAGTTGATATATGGTCTTTATCCCCAGTGTTATTAGACTGTTCATTCATGCTCAAATAGATATAACAAATCAACATTGCATTCTAAGAGAAGGTGATGCACATCAAAGTGTGAGTCATTAAATGAGGATTAATTAGGTAGGAGGCATGATACGGGTGAGGTTATATTGACCGAGGTGGTAATGCAGTCATAATGTGCATTATTTTTTGGATAATTCAAGGGCCTGAAGTCAATTTTTCCGCTTATACTACAGTTACCACACCTCAAAACATTGTTCAGATGATTCATATCAAGACGTTTGTCAAGTTTGACATTAAAGCGCTCTTGTATGTAGGACTAATTTCTTACGCATCTAATCCCATGCCTCCGTTGCTAATTCCAAAACGTAATTTTAGAGGTAGTAACAGAGGTTTAGCCATTTATAGCAGACTAATGTAATGATGGGGGACACACAATTCGCTGAAATATTCGAAGACCGACTGTTTCCATCAACTGTACCAGGTCTTACTAAACACCAACTGTGTGAACACCGGCTGAACGCGCTGAACGGCGTTTGGGCATGATCAGTCAGAAGTATCAAATTACATTCATAACTGGCCTTAGTAGGCCTAAACTAGTCTGTCCTGGCTTTATGCAGTTATTAATGCAGTTATTAGAGAGAGGAAGAGAGAGAGAGAGAGAGAGAGAGAGAGAGAGAGAGAGAGAGAGAGAGAGAGAGAGAGAGAGAGAGAGAGAGATGTTGAAATAATGAGACAGAAAAGCATGTGTGTCAATATTATTATTTATTTATTAACTTTGTTTTAATTAATTCGTTCATTATTGTCTTCTATAATTGACAGTAGATAACACAATAAATGAAAAACACAAAGCCCTTTAACAAGTAAGCCTATCAATAATTATTTATTTGTTAAATTATCTGGAATAATTACGAAACTCTGTGCAGCAGGACTATTAATTTATTTATATAGCTTATTGAGTTTAATTTTCTATTTAGCTTATTATAGATAGGACTATAATTTATTTATTAAAATTAAACTGTATGTGTCAATTGATTGTGCATGGGGCTGCATGTCTTCTCGTTATGAATTGTATCTTATTTTCCGTTAACTACGCGCAGTGATATGGAACTGTAATGCGGTTCAAACTCGCCTGAAACTACTTTAGCCATGCATTTCCCTGAAAATAACTGCACACCTTTAGAACGTTCTCAACCAATCAGAATCAAGCATTCAACAGCTCTGTACTATAAGTAAGGAATAATTGACGACAGGCCGAGGAATTATTAGAAAAATGGTAACACTTTACAATAAGGTTCATTTATTAATCATTAGTTAATGTATTAACTAACATGAACTAACCATGAGCAATACATTTGTTACTTTTTTGTTAATATTTGTTAACGTTAGTTAATACAAATCCAGCTGTTCATTGTTTGTTCATGTTAGTTCACAGGGCATTAACTAATGTTTACAAGATTAACAAATTATTAGTAAATGTTGAAATTAACGTCAACAAAGATTAACAAATGCTGTAGAAGTATTGTTCATTCTTACATTAGTTTTATTAGTTAACTACATTAGTTAATGTTAACTAATGTAGTTACTAATGAACCTTATTGTAAAGTGTTACCAGAAAAATAATGCACACCCGAGGTGGTAATGCGTTCACGACGCAAAGCAGAGTGGCCCTTACACCTCGGGTGTGCTTTATTTTTCGGATAATTCAACGGCCTGAAGTCAATTATTCCGCTTATACTAGTTACCACACCTCAAAACATTGTTCAGATGATTCATATCAAGACGATTGTCAAGTTTTTGACATTAAAGCTCTCTTGTATGTAGGACTAATTTCTTACGCGTCTAATCCCATGCCTCCGTTGCTAATTCCAAAACGTCATTTTAGAGGTAGTGACGGAGGTTTGAGACACTGATAGCAGACTAATGTAATGATGGGGGACACACTTACAATTCGCTGAAATATTCGAAGACTGACTGTTTCCATCGACTGTAGCAGGTCTTGCTAAACACCAACTGTGTGAACACAGACTGAACGTGCGTTTGGGCATGATCAGTCAGATTAAATTCATAACTGGCCTTAGTAGGCCTAAACTAGTCTGCCCCAGCTTTATCCAGTTATTAATGCAGTTATTAGAGAGAGAAAGAGAGAGAGAGAGATGTTGAAATAATGAGACAGAAAAGCATGTGCGTCAATATTATTTTTTATTTATTTATTAACTTCGTTTTAAATAATTCGTTCATTATTGTTTTCTATAATTGACAGTAGAAAACCCAATAAATGAAAAACACAAATCCCATTTAACAAGTAAGCCTATCAATAATCATTTATTTGTTATATTATCTGGAATAATTAAGAAAACCCGTGCTGCAGGACTATTATTTATTTAAATAGCCTATTCAGTTTAATTTTCTATTTAGCCTATTATAGATAGGACTATACTTTATTTATTAAAATTAAACCTGTATGTATCAATTGATTGTGAAGTTAGACAATTGCAGATCAAGTGCATGGGGCTGCACGTCTTCTCTTGTTATGAATTGTATACTATTTTCTGTTATTACAGTTAACTATGCGCAGTGATATGGACTGTAATGCGATTCAAACTTGCCTGAAAGTACTTTAGCCGTAGCCTGACTACGTCAGACTTCCTACTTACGCTAATTTAATTTCACTCCTGTAGTCAGTCTGAGATAGTGGCCTATCTTTCAGTTTTCCACCGGCCTGAAAACAGCCGGCCAATCAACGAACAGAGGGCGGGTTGAGAGCCGTGACGTAGACGCTAAGCGCCGAGTTGACATTGTAGGTTAGAGAAATCGAAAACCGAAACAACCGCGCAGAAATGGGAAACAAGACACGGGATACAATTCGCTCTGTTATGGAGAACATTCCGGGGTTTTTCAAACTGAAGCAAAAGTCGTTTACAGCCATGTTCACTCCGGTATTTCACTCGCATCATCAGTGTTTACAGCTAGGACTGGCGCGTGCACTTCTGCCGCTCTAGGCAAAAAACAATTTTGTTGCCCCTCTATTTGCAACATATACCAGCAACAACCAGCATGCTTGGCCATTATGTAGCTTGCACAACGCGCATACACTTTTGATTCTCTCTGTTCCCTGTAAATCATTTTTACTGCATTATGATTTCTTAATTCAGAATATGATCAACATTGCGTAGGTGGATGTGATCGGGGAATTTGGCTGTTAAAATTATAACATTAAGCCACTAAAATAAACGAAATGACTCGAATGACTCAGAAAATCAGTAAAATGAACTTCCTATTCATGACTCGCCAGAGCAGCGGCTCGGTCTCGCCCGATC